TGACTCACATTTTTAAAATTGTTTTTTTAGATTTAAGTAAATGGTTTTATGCTCCCCTTGACACAATTTAGGTCATTCATAGGAGGCGGGCTTCAACCCCGTCTATCACGTACTATCATGCCCAACCTGAGAGCATCCCAGCTCAAAGAGTGAGAATAGTGAGATACATTTGTGAGGCGGGCTGACAAAATGAGTTACTTCTCGCCATTCACAAATGGAGATATTGGCCAAAAATCGACATTAGGGTCAAATTTATAGATTTTCTATCGATGCCAGATATGCTTTAGCTATCACCTGTCTTTTATTATTTCATACTTATAAATTGTGAAAACTTCCATGTATTGTACATGTAGGTTGCCAAAGTAATACCTCGCCCTCCCTTCAGATCTTGACTGCCTTGAAGGGCTCAAAAGATAGCACATCGTCGATATGCTTGGAATCAAAGAAGGTGTAATGGATGTATTACTATTTTGCTCGTGTGGTTGGGATACCTTATTATTGTAGGAAATTTTGAATTTTGCCTAGGTAAGTTCTGATTCAAATAGGGTAATTTTTTCGTGGTTTATTTTAATAATGTGTGCGTTTGAAGGGACACTGTAGACAAACAATAAATTTTTTGCGCGATCTCACTATATATATTCGTTTTGGTGTTTTATATGTTTGAATGATCACAAGTTCTGTCCCTGTCGTTTTATGCTAGAAAAATTCTGAAATTATGCAAACTGAGCCCAAAAATATGAAATTATGTTCTGTTAATTTTAACAAAGAATGATGATGGAAAATAAGTAGAAATTATGCAAAAAATGATCAAATTTTTGGCTAAATTATGCGGGATGCATAAAACCACGAGGACAGCAAGTTCTCTAGATCAGCTGTTCCTGTTCTATTTTTGCCTCTGTTGCCTTTTTTTTTTTCCAGGAAGTGGGCGGTTGTGGGGGCGCGGCTGGTAGGTCCTGCTTCTTTTCTCTTCCATTTTGTGTTCCTGTCTATCTGTCTTACATTTTATCCCCCCCCTCCCCCCCACAGGACAGTGCCACTGACTGAAGTGTCTTAAGGCCATTCCCAAAGGGGGGACATTTCTCGTTCATGCACAGTAGAATTGTCAATGGGCTGATTCATCATGTCACGCTCATAACTGTGCCTGATCTAAAAAAGGGAACTGATGCTTTTTCTTTCCTAATCCTTACTATTGTCATTTTCCTCTACTTCTTTTGTATGTTTGTCACACTCTTGCGACCTGCTATTTCCTGGGTGCCTTGATAGTTGAAGCAGACGTTGTGCTGTTGAAGCTAGAGAGGTGAGCAGAGTAAGTCTGATTCCCTATAAAGACTTCTCTTTTGACACCCACCCCTTGGCGCTCATATGACCTTATGCTGTTGCGAGCGCCCTAAAACCCTCTACTAAAAAATTACATTTTCTTCCCTGCACCAAGTGACCATTGATGTATCGAGGTTCTTCTCTTTACTCTACAAACAATTGGAGCAAGATGAAGATGTTCACAACTTTATGTTGTTTTAGTTGTAGTAAGAGTTTTTTAATGGCACTTGCAGCACGATAAGATCATACATGTATATTAAGTTGTAAGTGCCCAAGATTAGAGATGTTACAAGAGAGTAACAAACCTGTCCCCGTCGTTTTATGCAAGAAAAATTCTGAAATTATGCAAACTGAGCCCAAAAATGTGAAATTATGCGATTCTGTTAATTTTAACAAAGGATGATAAAGGAAAATAATCAGAAATTGTGGGGAAAAAATGATCAAATTTTGCTAAGTTATGCGGGGTGCATAAAACCACGGGAACCGACAAACACAAAAAAGGGAGATGAGGGATCAGGATGATAGATGTAAGATAAGAAAGAAGGAGCAAACCACACAAGAGCTCATGCTAACTACCCGTGTTCACGGCTTTATGTCTATTCAAATGTCGTCTCGGAACTGCATCCGTCTCTTTCTAATAAAATTGTTTTTTTTTATTAGTGATCGTCTTTCAGACTACCGGTACATCTTTTGATTTCTCTCTCTTTCGTGAAATTGTCAACGGTATCCGTAGAAATCACACTTCTGGTGCCTCTTGTTTTTGTTTTTGGGGTTTCTTTTTCCCACTCTCCATTGTACAGTGTAGACTACTTGTCCAGCTTTAGCAACAACAAAAAAAAGAACCATATTATTACAGTCGACTACCTATGAGTTGATGTGGTCGGCGGAGTTTGTTTGTTTTAGGCTGTCCCCGTCGTTTTATGCAAGAAACATTCTGAAATTATGCAAACTGAGCCCAAAAATGTGAAATTATGCGATTCTGTTAATTTTAACAAAGATTAATAAAGGAAAATAATCAGGAATTATGCAAAAAATGATCAAATTCTTCTAAATTATGTGGGGTGCATAAAACTACGGGGACATTTTAGTAGAGGTTTTTACGGCGCTCGCAACTGCTTATGGTCATATGAACGCCAAGGGGTGGACGTCAACAGAGAAGTCAAAACGGGGAATCTGGGTTACTCTGCTCACCTCACTAGCCTCAACCGCACAAAGTCTGCTTCGACTCTCAAGGCACCCGGGAAATAGCAGTTCACAAGAGAGTGACTAACATACAAAAAAAGTAGAGGGAGAATGACGATAGTAAGGATGAGGAAAGTAAAAGCAGCAGTTCTTCCTATGTTGTTCCGGCACAGTATGAGCATGACATTTTTATATCAGCCCATTTACAATTCTACTGTGCTTAAGAACATGTTAATATCCCCCCTATGGGAATGGCCAAAAGACACTTTTAGTCTGTAGCACTGCCCTG